AAAGAATATTGAAAGGTGAATATGCTGAGCTAGATAGGTCTGCTAAATTGAAACGTGAAAAAAAAACGTGAATGTGCTGCATGTGTCTCATGAATAATGACCAGAAGAGGATTAAGGCCTCATTTGTTTTTTTTAAGATTAAGACGTCTGAATCTGAATACACGTCTGAATACCAAAATGTGTATTAAGATAAAGATATCTGAATCTGAATACATGTCTGAATGTCAAGATGTGTATTAAGATCTGAATACTAAATGATTAAGACTGTTTGATTTTTAAGATCTGAATGTATAAAATTTACGTTTATTTGAAAATTAATAAACATAAAATTCAAATAAAATACTAATTAATCTAATATTACATCACTAAAATATATAGCATTTTAAAATATGATAGTTGCTGGTGGTGATGACTAACGGTAGTGCTTGTGAATGCCGACTAAAAGCGGTGGTTGGTGGTAGTTTAGGGTAGAAGCTAGTGGTGATTGGTAGCGGTAGCTATTATGATTGAGGATGGTGGTGGTGGTAGTGATATTTAATAATGGCGGGTGGTGGTGGTGTTAGTTGTGATTGAGGAAGATGGTGGTGAGTGGTGGTAGTTTATAATGATGAGCAGTGCCAACTTTGGTTGTTGATGGTGATGGGATGGTTAGTTGTGGTAGTTGAGGTAGATGAGTGTTGGTTGTCGTTAATGATGGTGGTGGGAGTGGTGGGGATGATGGGTGGTGGTAGTCGACAATGGTGGCGGCTATGATTGAGGATGATGGTGGTGGTGGGTGACATAGTGGTAGTTGATAATGGTAGGCGGCGACGGCAGTTAATAATGAATATGGATGATAGCATCTTAATGAAATTAAGTCTTTGTTATAGATCTTAATGATACAGACCTATTCAGACCCATTAAGTGGTTGTGAAGTTAAAAAACAAACACACTTAACGATTAAGTTCTGAATAATTAAGATTCACACTTTGAAAACAAACGCACTTAATGTCTAAGATATGAATGATTAAGATTCAGACCTCCATTAAGTGCAAACAAATGAGGCCTAAGTCTCGAAGCTCTTATACCATGTGAGACAAGAGAAAAGAAGGGAAAAACTCTTTGCTGAGTTGCTTGTTTGGCAATTAACAGGACTCCCTATATAGTCATACATACGTACAATAAATTACATGATTTTCTCAAGTTACAAATAAAGTAATCTCCTATGTTAAGTACAAAATATTCTAGAGTACCTACAGAATCTGGTATTAGTATTCTTGGTGGTATATTGCAATAGTATCTTCAGCTATAGTTTCAATGAAGTATAACTTATTATCTCTTGACGTACAATAGTGCTTTGACCTTGGATAACATATTATGAATCTTCTTAATTCAAGTCATTCATGCAATGCATTTTTCAGAGTCGCAGAGCATAAAATCTCTTCAAATGCTGACTGCTAAGATAATATTGCTTCTTTCTTCTAGGACACTTCTTATTGTTAACCTCCTTTTGCATTTGATGTATATTCTATTCCATTTTTGTGCATATTTTATGAAGTGAAAACTTGAGATTTTGAAATTGACGTTTTTGTTACTCTTGCAGCTTTAGGGACTCAATTTTGCGATTGACAGATCACACAGACAAACAGGTAATCTATTCTTGCCTTACGCACCGTATCATTTCATCAAGTGGTTAAATGGTAATATCAATTATTCTAACAAAATATATTCAGTTTATTGACTCTTTTGTATTGCGCTCCCCCCCTTATTTTTCTTGCTTTAACGTGTGAGTTGAAATGCTTCCCATTTTGTGCTCGCGTGATGATTGGAGAGACCTATGGATGTATGATGTATGTGAAGAAAAAGGACCGAGTTCTTCTTGCCTAATTAACATTATAATCTATACAAAAGTTAATATCGAAATGAGGTGAATATAATAATAACCAAGGGTGTGGTCTAGTGGTCAATGAAGTGGGTTAAGAACCATGAGGTCTGAGGTTCAAATCCCAGCGGAGGCAAAAAACACTAGGCGATTTTTCTCATCTATCCAAGCCTAGTTGGACAAAATTTTCCTGTAAATTTACTGGTGGGAGGTAGCAGGTAAGCTGTGGAATTAGTTGAGGTGCGCGCAAGCTAGCCCGGACACCATGCTTATCCCAAAAAAAAAGGTGAATACAAAGGGGAGGGCACACATGACCAATGTCACCACTTCTTATCCGTCTGAGAAAATCTTTAGAAACTGTAGACCAACACCTAGACAGTACCCCGTATGACAAGCAGCTCTACTAATGTGACATTCAGGGGGAAGCATGCATAAGCCTATATTCTTTGTTCATCACCTTGTTTCAAGGGAGGTGACAGATATGAGATGCCTTACACCCTAAACAAGATTGTACCCATATTGTGTGTTGAGCTTGCTTTGTTTTTAAGTTGTCACAAATAACTGAGGCTACCGATGACCTATTCTCTAGTACAGGTTATGATTGAAAATATCTTGTTTATGTTAAAAAAAAAGTGCATTTGGTGATGAGTAATTTGTTTACTGAAGAAAGTGTGATAATACTTCGCAAGTACTTAAATGAGAATTAGGGGGAGGGGAAGAGGCAACTCTGGCTTTTCCAGATTGAGCATTCTCCCAGAGCTGCCCCAAAAATTTATGGAGTGGTTGACAGAGAAAGAGAACTAGTTTTTAGAGAAAAGGATAGCCCCGGATCTTTCATGTCAATATTGATGAACAATATTTCCACTGATGATCTTAGTTAGAGAAAAATTTCGTTATTAGAACTTGATTAAGGAGATCAAGCTAACTTGGAATGGAGTCTTGGCTTTTCCAAAAATAGAAGGAAATTTCTAGAAAACGTGGAGACTATTTGCTTTCTTGTTGAGCTCCTTGCTTTAGATTGGGCTACAGGGTCTTATTGGCTCTTCTCTGGCAGGCTAGATCTATATTTTTATGTGAAGCGCGCTAGGTACTCCTATAGAGATTACATGCATATAACAATTGATTCTACTTTTTCCTTGGATCTTCCGTTGTTCTGCTAGTCTGATTACTACCATGAAAATGATTTTTCACGGGCTTGCAATGTTTCTGTTTTTTCTTTTTGTTTTATTTTTTGGGGGCTAATTCTAGTCTTTGAATCATCGGTAGCCTGAGATGGTGGTCTTGGTTTCATGTATATCACCATTGTGCCATCATTTTTTTGACAATAGTCTAATTGATTTACTGTGTTTACGGTGTCTCAGGTTCATCAAATTGCAAGGAACTTCAGAGATAGGTGGATACCTAGACCTCCCAGAAAAAGTAGCTGCATTGACAGAGATGACAGCCAGATTGAGCATCTTTCTTCACGGTACAATAGGTGTACACCATTACAAGACCATTGTGGTGATTGGAGTATGGAACCTTCAGAAACAGAAGAATGTACCTGCCATATAATGGTAGAATCTACTACAGCAGGTGCTGGTATCCTTGATGGCTCATCTACGTCATCTGTTGTTGGGGCACCCAATGGGGCAAGGAAACGTAAGCGTAAGAGTCGATGGGATCAGGAGGCAGAATCAAGTTTAGATCAAAGAACTGAAACCAACATGGCTGATGATCGAACACAGGACATAAATGATGTCCCCCCTGGATTTTCAGTCCCCATAAAGGCTTCTAGAGTCTCATGTGGTGCTTCCTCAGGTGCAGCTTGTAGTCTACAAGAACATAGTTGCAAGAAGCATCCACATCCAATGGTCACAGGGTATTTGCAGCAGAGGTTTATTTCACGATTGCCAGTCTCTTATGGAATTCCATTTTCCAAAGTGCAGCAGTTTGGGTCATTTCAAAAAGAAAGACGTGATGTTTGGGATGTTGCCCCAGGAGTACCTTTCCATCCTTTTCCTCCTTTGCCTACTTATCCCCGTGATAGAAGAGATTCCATGTCTTCTGCTGCTAGTGCTGGAATTTTTAGCGAGCCACCTCAAAATGCTGGACAAGATCGCCATTCTTGTTCTCCGGGCCACTCTGCTCATAATCCTCCATGCCTATCCGGGTCAAACCTCTCGCAAGACGTTGCAAATACCCAATTTGGTTTTGAACGAACTGGGGGATATCATAATTTGGGAAGGAAATATTTTCGACAGCAAAAGTGTATTAACTCAAAAAGGCCTCCCTGGGGAAGAAGTGGCTGGGGGTGCACAGGAAACAACTTAAAAGATAGTATGTGCAGTGTAGGTGTAGCAAGCAAAGAGAATGAATCTAGGAGTTCCCATAACCCTAAAATGGAGAATTTGGGGCATACTTCTCAACAGAATAATTCACAACAGACATAGCTTTAACTTCCATAGGCAAAAGACCTCAGGAGCCTCCAAGTTTTTCTCCAGTGCTCCTTTGTACTTGTATTCTTTGCCACCAACAGAATTGTAAAGCACTTATTCACTTTTATTTGTTAAGGTTAAGGATAAAAAGATACTCTGAACGACGATGTGCTGCATTGGCAATATCATTATTCATGCCTTACAGAGGTACCCTTCCTAATTCTTTTTATTATTACTTGATGGGAAGTACTGTCAGAGAAAATTGATTTATTTATGTTGCTACATTGTAATTGTTGCTGTAGTTTTGTGGGATGCCCAACTGGCTTATGGTATTGTGGAAATATATGTTGTTTACACTGAAAACTGATCCTGCTACAGGCATTTTAGTAGTATAATCTCAGTTGCAGTGCTTTCCTTTTCTTCTTTTATTCGAGAACTCATTCTAATGCTACAAATGTGGGTTACACTAGTAGAAGGGGGAAAGATCTCCTTTTAGATTGTTCCTTCAACCTGTACTTGCAGCGGGGCTAACTTGATTAGATATTGTTCTTTCATGCATCCTTGAAAAAGAGCACCAGGTAGATAAAACCTTCGATGAAGTGCACTAGTCAGCATATCAAGATGTTTCTATATTGCTATAACTTGATACGACCAGAATATTTTAGTCATTCTTGACGATGTTCGAAGAAGTCAGACTGTCTACATGTTATAGCAAAGAAGAATATTATAATCTCAACAATGAGCAGACTTTTCATATCTATTAACAATTGCAAAGAACTTTCTTTTCTCCGCTACAACAAAGTGCAAATGGAAACAACGCAAAATATTAGATCATCTTAACAATTATTGCCGTTACACTACCCCCTCCCAACCCAAAAAAAAGAAAAAAAAAAGAGACAGTAAACTGACAACAAGAAAAGAGTTTAGCTGCACTATTCAAGTAATTTTCCCCTGTGACCTGCATATTGAGCTCTCAATATTTTCGCAGCATGCTTCTGATACGGATGAAACACCATGTTTTCAGCAATGTTTTCCGTCTTTTCCATCCATCAAAGTACCTGCCAATCACCTTCTTATAACTAGGTCTCTGCTTAACCAACATCCAATAATCTGCTGTGTTTGGACGACTATTTATGTACTCGTCTTCCAAGTTCAAGAGTTGTAATCTAGCCAGAACAGGAATGAGCACTACATCAGCTAGACTGAACTCTTCCCCGGCTAGATATGATGTTTCACCAAGTTTAACTTCTACCTCATCCAGAAGCCTTACTAGATGATTCTCACATCGTCTCAAAACGTCAGCATTCTTCAACTTGTCGTCGGTATCATATGCATCTCTTAACTTACAGTGGTAGGCACTTGCTAAGTCAGGAGATTCAGCCATTCGGGCAATTATTACACGTCTCAAGAATTTCGAAACATATAACCGATACTTGTCAGGGACATGGAAAAGGGTAAAGTACATTGAGTCCCATTCTTGTATTTTATGCATCCATTCAACAACTTCTCTGCTGCTGAGGTTTAGATTGTTTCCACCAGAAGACACTTTTTCTGCAATTCTTTCGATATACCTGTGCATGATGAAACAGTTTAATACTAAATATGATTAATGATAATAGGAAGCAACTGCACAAGTCCTTCTTAACTGTTGATGCTTACTGAATAATCTCAACTGTATCATATATGATGTGAGAACCATTCTGAAAGACAGGAATTTTTGCACTTGGATTCATACTGAAGAAAAATGTATCCATGTTCTTGCCCGTTAAAGGGTTCACATGATGCGACGTGTAATCAATGCCTTTCTCCTCCAAAGTAAGTCTCACCTTCTGACTGTCCAAGGACAAAGGATGATGATATAGCTGCATGTTACACCTGCACCTCATTACCATCTCTTAAACAACTTCTAAATGTCTTAACAACCTTTCTCTAAAACTGAAACACAACGAAAATAATCTCCTAGGCAGATGCAACCACATAGATAACATAGTCTCAGATCATATCCTACCAATACGCTTACTTGTTTATTTCATCTGATGACTAATGACAACCCATTCTGCAATTAAATCACAGCAATATAGGATCACTTATGCAATTGTCTAAACTTCACAAGTTATTTCACATCCTCAATCTATACTTTCTAATTTCTATCTATAAGCAAAACTGATGCCACAAAGATGGATACACACACTAAGCTATTATAATTAAAAATCACTATTTCATTTTTTTTTAAATTTCTAGTACATAGGGAAAGAGGAAGGGAAGGGGGAAAGGGGCAGTGAGAATGAACCCACAACTATTGTGTAAAAAAGTTCAAATCAGTATCACTAAACTGTAAGCTTGAACAAAAATCAGAATTCAATTATCAGAACCCATAATTTCCAGAAACTAATAGAGCAATCCAGAAAACCCAGGAATCACAACATAAACCAATAAATTAGTAAACTTGGCCAATTGAATCACCATAAAAAGAAGAACTTTTAAAGGATTAAACTTAAAAGAAGCAAAAAGAAACAGAAACAGGACATACCAAAGAAACCTTATGGAATCAGTAGAGAATTCAAGACACAAACTTTGATTTTAGAGAATTGGGGTCACAAAGAAAAAGAGGACAAACTCTATGACGAAAGCTTAAAGGGGTTTATGCCTTTCTGTGGAGAGAGTGTGTGTGGAAAAAGGTTCTGTGAAAGAATTTGACAACTAAGAAAAGCAGTTTTTCGAGTTGCTTTTTTCAATTGGATTTTATGGAAATTGCAAAGGGACTGTTATTTAATTAATTTTTTCAAGCATGGTTTTATAAATTTCAGTGAAAAAGGTGTGAAAAGAAAAGAGAGTACTATCAAAAGTTATGATGAAATAACAAATATTCATTTTTTATTAAATATTTTGGGTTCTAGCTTTAAATATGCAATCCTTTACCCAAAATAAAAAATTTTCTACTCGAATTAGTTGAGCCCCAAAATGAATATAGCACCCAAAATAAAAAAAAAAAGAAGAGAGTAGAATATACCGTCAATAATGTAGTCAATTTCAAGTCTTGTGCCAACCTCCGCCGCCCACTGCCACTTTTTAATTATTTGTATTTGTATAAATATATTTGTTATATAAAAATAGAGACTTGCTTTATCCGTCAGCCACGCAGAATGGGGTGTGATATGTGAGGAAACAACTACTTGTCGGATTTGGCAAATTTTTCCTTGACAGGTTTTGAACAAACTTAACCCAAAGCGTTCACATGTGAATCAGATCTACGTAAGTATAACTATTTCTATAGAGTCAAACAAGAAGATTTGTCAAATTTTATACACAAAGTTTTCGAATAACTTGTCTTGTCCGAAGGAGCAAAGAAGATTTTAATATTGAAAATTCACTGCCTTGGGCCTATGACTTCATTTTCGTGAGATTTTGATGAGGTTAGTGGTCATATCTGTTTGTGTAACTTTTAATGACAATTGCTTTACTACTTACTAGTAGTTAAAAATTTAGAGTAAATTTCACTTGACCTTTAATAATTAGGAAATAATACCCCTTCGCAGCTCTGTCTTTTGAATGGATTTACAACCGCTTGAACAATATTTTTCGATAAGGTGCTTATATTTGCTAAACTTTAAATGACTCTAGGAAGCCGCTTTGAGCACTCCTATTTGAAATATATTTAGTAAATTATTTAAAGTCACTGTCATTTAAATATTTTTTTAATTCTTTTTACTCTTAGCCAAGAGCTCACCACTTTGCTATTAGGTGATTCGAAATTGCAACCTTAGCCTTGGAGGTCGAGGTACTTACCACTCGAGCACCTTTTTTTTTTCAATTCAAATTTACAGTCTGAATTAGAACTACATTTAAAAATTAGAACTACAGCAGGGAGAAAGTGTTCCCCTTTTTATTTAATGAATCAAGTGTGGACAAAAATACTATTCATATTAAACCACCAGCTCTTAAATATCCGCACAACAACACCTTACACTTACAGAGGCCGATTTGAAATTTTAACTTGATCAGCTTAATTTTTATGATTTTATCATTGAACCCATTGTACTTTTAAAATTATGAGTTTAAAACATACAAAATAAAATCTAGTGTATCCCACAAATAGGGGGTTTGGGAGGGTATTATGTATGCAACCTTACCCCTACCTTATGCAGGTAGAGATGCTGTTTCCGGTAGACCCTCAGCTCCAAGCAACCATGCAAATCACAACAGTATAGAGAGAAAAAAATACAGTAGTGTAAAAATCAAAAAAATATTAACAGCTGGAAAGTAGAGCAACCAAAACACAGTCGATACCAGGTAGTGATCAAATTTTAAACATATGGAAAATACTAAAATACGCAACCACTAATGAAAGGAAAAGGGGAACGTGCACTGTCTACTAGCCTTCTACCGTAATTCTCGCCCTCCACGTACGCCTATCACGTGTCATGTCCTCGGTGAGCTGAAGATGCACCATGTCATGTCTAATCACCTCACCCTAATACTTCTTCGGCCTACCTCAACCTTTTCTCAGACCCGCCATCGTTAATCTCTCACACCTCCTCACTGGAGCGTTCGAACACCTCCTCATCACATGTCCGAACCATCTCAACCTCGCTTCCCTCATCTTCTCATCGACGGATGCTACGCCTACCTTTTCTCGAATATCTCTAGTCCTAATCATGTCTCTCATGTTATGCCCACACATCCATCTCAACATCCTCATCTCCGCAATCTTCATCTTTTGGACAACTAGCCAACACTCCGCCCCATACAACATAGTTGGTCTAACCACCACCTTGTAGAACTTACCTTTAAGTCTTGGTGGCACGTTCTTATCACACAAAACACCGGATGCAAGCTTCCATTTCATCCACACCGCTCCAATACGATGTGTGACATCATCGTCGATCTCCCTATTGCCTTGGATTACTGACCCAAGGTGCTTGAAGCTGCCTCTCTTAGGGATGACTTGTTAATCCAGCCTCACTTCCACGTCAATTTCCTGGGTGGTATTGCTGAACTTGCACTCCGAGTAGTCTGTCTTAGTCCTGCTCAACTTGAAACCTTTAGACTCCAGGGTCTGTCTCAAAACTTCCAGCCTAGTGTTGACCCCGCCCCGCGTCTCGTCAATCAGTACTATATCATCTGCAAATAATATACACCACGACACCTCCCCTTGGATGTGGCGCATCAATACATCCATCACCAAGGCAAACAAAAATTGACTAAGAGCTGAACCCTGGTGTAAACCCATCATGACAGAAAAGTGTCTCGAGTCACCTCTTACTGTCCTAACCCGGGTTTTGGTTCCATCATACATGTCCTTAATCACCCTAATATAAGCTACAAATACACTTTTTGCCTCCAAAAATTTCCATAAAACCTCTCCAGGGATTTGTCGTATGCTTTTTCTAGGTCAATAAACACCATATGCAAATCCTTCTTCCTCTCCCTATACCGCTCCACCAATCTCCTCACCAGATGAATGGCTTCCATCGTCGACCCCCCCGGGCATGAATCTGAATTGATTCTCGAAAATGGACACACTTCTCCTCACCCGGGTCTCCACCACCCTTTTCCAAACCTTTATAGTATGGCTTAGCAACTTGATGCCCCTATAGTTGTTATAATTTTGAATATCACCCTTGTTTCTGTACAACGTGACCATCGTACTCCACCTCCATTATTCGGTCATCATCGCCGTGCTAAAAATGATATTAAACAACCCGGTCAACCACTCCAAACCTGCCCTACCTGTGCTTTTCTAAAATTCCACCGGAATCTCTTTTGGCCCGGTCGCTTTTCCCTTGCCCATCTTGCACATTGCCTCCTCCACCTCCTTGACCTTAATACACATACAATACCCAAAGTCATGTCGACTCTCGGAGTGCTCCAAATCACCTAGAGCAATTATCTTGTTTCCCTCTTCATTTAAGAGTTTATGGAAGTATGCCTGCCATCTTCCTCTAATATGTGCCTCCTCCAGTAGCACTTTACCTTCCTCGTCTTTGATACACTTCACTTGATCCAAGTAACTAGCCTTCTCCTCTCTCTCCCTAGCTAGCATGTACAACTTCTTGTCCCCAAGTGCTTTATACAAGCATTCGAATGCTATTGTCTTAGCCGCCGTAATCGCTAACTTTGCCTTCTTCTTCGCGGTCTTGTACCTCTCCTGATTCGCCCTCCTCTTTTACTCGTCTTTGCTCTCCCTTACCTTCAAATATGCCGCCTTCTTCGCCTCCACTTTCCTCTGCACCTCCTTATTCCACCACCAGTCCTCTTTATACCCGTCACGGTAATTCTTCGAGGCCTCTAACACCTCTCTAGCTACTTCCCTAATGCAGTCCGATGTCCTAGCCCATATACAACTCGCAGTCCGATGATTTAAAACATAATACTTATTAAAATTTTAGTAATTTTACAAACATATCTAAACATCGTAAAAATTATTGGATTCAATTAAACCCGTAGCTTGGTAGCTATATTTGTCCCTGCGCTCTTAGCCAACGAAGGAATGTATGAAGCTGATAAAGGTTAAATGAAGACTCTATAGACACGTACAGCAAAAATAGAAAGAATTTTAGCCTATTAAATTCCATACTACAATCAAGTCTCTTCTGTATTGAATCTCACTTTCCTTGTTGATTGATAGCTTGCGAAAATCATCTACTCCAGTAGCCATAGCATTTGCAGTGCCACTGTTCCTTGTCGCAAATTCGCCCTCTTTTTTTGTTTTGTTTTGATTCCACACGAGTCACATTATCCTTTTAATTCTTGTTTATAAATGATTAGTATGACTTTGTGCTAGACTTATTTTACTTATATTATTCAATTGTTTATAAATTTTATAGGATTGCCATGACTTTGTGCTAGACCCATTTTGTCTATATTATTCAATTGTTCATAAATTCTACCGAATTTGCATGACTTTGTGCTTGTTAAATTATTCACAAAATCCTTATGAATTGGTATGACTTTTGTGCTATATCCATTCTGCATATATAGTTTAATTGTTTGTAAATTTTATCGGATTAGCATGGCTTTGTGATTGTTCAATAGTTCACAAAATTCTACCAGATTAGCATAAATTTTTGCTATATTCATTCTACCTATATTATTCAATTGTTCACAAATCCTAGCGGATTAGCTTGACTTTGTACTTATTTAATTGTTCACACCAGATTGGCATGATTTGTGCTATATTTATTTTGTTTATTTAAATTGATCACAAATCCTATCGGATTGGCAAAACTTTGTGTTTGTTCAATTGTTCTTAATATACTACCGGATTGACATAATTTTATGCTTTATTCATTCTACCGATGGAGAAGTAACTACCCCTTTATTATCTAAAATAAGATATATCTACCATGCATTTTAGTTTTTTATTAAACGGCAAATGACCAAATATACCCCTTTACTTTCGAAAATGGTCTAAGAATACCCCTCGTTATACTATTGGATTATCTATACCCCTGCAGTCATATTTTGGGCTCAAATATACCCCTAATTTAAACGGAGGGACACGTGTCATCGTCCTGTTGGTCA